CCACAACTCAGACTACAACCACCGAGTCAACTACCACCGAATCAACGACCACTGAGCCTACCACAACTCAGACTACAACCACCGAGTCAACTACCACCGAATCAACGACCACTGAGCCTACCACAACTCAGACTACAACCACCGAGTCAACTACCACCGAGTCAACGACCACTGAGCCTACCACCACCACCGCCCCCACTACATGTGAGTCTTAACTCTTTTTAAGAAATTTAAGAATAGTAAAATACTTGAAACTGTTGTATTGCAAGCATTTTTCAATGATACACAAGACTTTGTGCATGATAATAAAAATTTACAGTAATGACTATGGTAATTAAAGCACTTTAAAACCACAGATAGGTTATTCTTTCGACTGACAATTCAAAACAAAATTTAGTTAGAATCCCTTGGTCTTTCTAGTCTTGAAATTACTTATATTGAACTTTAATGCATGTTTGATGATAATGCCATAAAATTTAACTGTAAGGTTACATTTGGCTTTAAATCTCACCAACTTGCCATTCGCTTTTTAAAGAGTAAAAAACTCTAACTGCACTAAGATAATATCGTTATATTTGTTATTACGTGGCGGTGCTGCTTATGTTCAGCGCACCATTTACATTACCATGAGGTATTTTCACTTTATAACGCACTATTTATCACTCCAACTTTTGTGTTTTTGTTCTTCAGTTAGGCATAATCTTTTTAGTTACTGTATATATAACTTACACTGAAAACATATTTTGTATATTTATGTAAGATTTAATTATTTTGGTTGGAAATCCGTGTTCTTTTTTTTTTTTTTTTTTTGAAAGTACAAATATGGAGCTTCAATGTATGTCGTTTATATATAAGACAAAAGACAAAGGAATGCAGAGTGATCCGTCTTCATTTTGTTACAGTGTCGCCATCTATCTGCTTGCCGACTGCTAACGTGGTTATAGTCAGTTCAGGCACGGTGGCAGAGTATTACGTCAGAGTGAATCCCTGTACAGCTTTGTGTAGTAGTAAATACTCTACTGGCTCTTGGCCCCCTACACAGACGTACAGAGGCTGCTGTGGAAACAACATATGCTATTGCACTTTAACCACCGTTCTTTACTCGGTAAGTTATTTACCTCTATCATTAACATTTAAAATCAAATGTGGTAATAAAGGGATAAGTAAATTTAAAAGAAGAACATCTATGCTTACTTTTTATAGCATCTATTAAAATGAATCTTAACATAAATTTGATATTTATCACACCATCCCTCTTTATATTTCCATCATTGTCAACGGTTGAGTTACAATAAAAAAAAACAAGATACACAAATGTTCCATTTCCTGCTATTTTGCTCAATATATAGATGCAGTCACATTTTTTGTAAATAATTCAAGGACGGAAAACAATGATTTTGTAGAAAATAGTCTATTGCATTGATATGTTTTTTGACAAGGATAATTTTATTTACCGCGTTTTCTTAGTACCACCAGCGCGTATGCTGGCGGTACTCATGGTTTTAGTTCCGATCCATCTCGTACTGTTCCGTCGTTACCGCCGCTTCTCCTCCTAGCCCGCAAGGACCTGTGTCCCTGTGTCCCTGTGTCTTTTTTTTTTTTTTTTGGGGGGGGGGGGGGGGGGGGGGGCGGGGTGACACTCGTTGAAAGCCCCCTTGTCAACTTTTTTTGAGAATTCAATGCTAAATATCCCCCAAACCGAAGGAATTATGGGAAAAATTACTAGAAGTCTGACGGAAAGTCTTATGTGAAGATTCTAAAATGCCCTTGAATTTGATTTTTGACCTTTATGGAAAGGCCAAACGAGCCAAAAATTTCTAAAAATTGGAATTTCAGGCCTACCCAACTACCAGACTCGGCACCTACGGATCCAGAATAAACCGGTATATCAGACCACACTACCCGTTTTCAAGGTGTGTGTTAGATTGCATTACGGAGTATCATACCCCATCACTAATTTTGTAGGCCTACCTGTCATCCGGGTATCGCTTAGGATCATCGCTATCACATCGCGCGCCAGGCAAAATGGGTGAAGGGTGAATGGGTGAAGCTGATACTCCGTAATGCGATCTGACACACACCTTGAAAACGGGTAGTGTGGTCTGATATACCGGTTTATTCAGGATCCGTAGGTGCCGCGTCTGGTAGTTGGGTAGATCTGAATTTTCTGCAAAAAAAATTGTTTGTGCCGATCATCAGAAACAACACAGACCTAACCTATAATATTACTGACAGATGTTACCTTTAGGATAATCCTTTATCTCCGTGAGTTTGGGGTCGATAGGTGCATTTTCATGGGAGAAACGACCATTATATGCCGAAACTAAAAATTCTCTCCGTAAATGTTAGAGAGCTCTTGTTTTTTTCTATTTATTTATTTATTTATTTATTTATTTATTTATTTATTATTATTATTATTATTATTGTTATTTTTTTTTGCATTTCATAGAGCTTGTAAAGCCCAACACGGAAGGTGGTGTCTATTTTTTTAATTGACCTTTGACCTTCTTTTCATGATGAACTGTACTTTGCCATTTTTCTTTCCCTTATATCTACAAAACTTGCAGTGATCCGCCCGTGGTTACTATTGAACTTAGATAGGAAGTCCTCGCCTACCGTTTTATTCCGATATGAGATGTCATGAATGGAATATTGGGCAGTAGTAATATAAGGACGCGACAGTTACTAAAAAAGTGGCAGAGCTATTAAAAATGCCATAGTAAAGTGGCAGAGCTATTAAAAATGAGATGAGAGTAATTATTTTAATTATTTATTCTGTCTATTTATGAAAAAGATGCTTATATTGGTTGAAAAGGCAGGTGTATATATAAGATTTGAAAGGATAGGTGTTTGTTGTAGTTTTCCATTGAATTGGATGAACAAAAAGACACGCATTTTTATTGATCCAAAAAAGACAGATTGCATGCGACTAAGTTGAACGCGTCTCACAAAGTGTTAACAAACAAAGTTCCGCTTATGGTCAGCTGAGACTAGTGTAATATTCACAAAGAGAGGTATGCAGGCCAAATACTTAGAGTATTGTGACAGTGTGTGGTTCGCAAACACTTAGTACAGTCGATTGAATCCGCCTTTTACTGTTTTTCAATATAGTTGAATGTAAAGCGGCCAGTATTAAATGAATGACACTGTTTTAACATAAGCTGGGTAGTATCATAGTAAAGCTCTATTCTTTTCTCGTGAACCAACTGCTGTAGTCACCTATTTGTACTTAAACGCCGCATCAAATACTTTTGATTTCTCTAAACCCCTCCAATCCTTTATTCCTAAATGATCGCCTTGGTTTACACAAGCAAACCAGTAATTCAGGCGGCCAGTGTAAACAATCTGTTTAGATTTGGGCCTTTTGTAGCCACAACTATCACTTCACAACATTTTTTCAATCCAAAGCTAAACATTGGAGTACTCTTCTCTTCCTTTTTTAAAATAATATGAGTGTTTTTCTCTTTCAAGTCAAAATTTCTCAGCATTTTCTCGACGCAATGCTACTCATTGCTGTATTTTTTTCTGACCATCTTTAATCATCACTTGTTCTTTAAAGTTAAACAATGCAGCATTTTTTCTGTCCATCTTTGAACATAAGTGTTTTCCTTGTTAAATTTAAAGTTAAAATTTAAATACATCTTTAAAATTATTCTGCTTTAAAAGTATAATAAAGAAACCAAACAAAGTAAACAAAGATTTAACCTATGATTCTTATTTATAAGATCTATGCGCTGATTTATGATTTACATTGTCTAATCTGAAGAATAGTGTCACATGAAGAAGTATTTTTTCCCCTTAATACAAGAAACAACAGTTATTGCGTCTGTTTAAAGTTAACCAGTGCAGTATTTTTTTTCTGTTCGGCTTTGAATACCAGAAAATCTCCCGATCAAAATGAAACGCCAATGTAGAAGTTTTTTGTTAAATAAAAGTCAAACAGTGCGGTATTTTTTCCTGTTTGGCTGTGAAAATTAGTGTTTCCTTGTAAAAATGAAACACCAACATAATATGCAGAAGTATTTTTACCTTTAGTATAAGAAACATCAGATTTTTTTTTTCTGTTTCAAGTTCAACTTTTTTCTGTTCATCTTTGAAAATCAGAAAATGAACCGATGAAAATGCGTCACAAGAGATTTTCTACACAAGATCGCGTTAAAACAGTGTAGTTTTTGTCTGCTTAGTCATGTTATAGAACCATAAATTCAAGAAAACACATGTCATATGGATAAAATGTACTTTTATTAGTATACAATCTCTAAGCACACGGTGGTAAAAATGACAAACTCTGTCTCTGTTTCATTGAACATCACATCGAATGCGTTAACTACTGTTTAGTATATGAATTGACTTTATATTATACAATTCTTTTCAAGGTAGGTATTTACACAGGTGGAGTAATGTAATAAGCTTTTACGTCTTGCTTTCCAAACACGCTTCTGCTGCACCACATTATATTGGATTAACAGCGCGACAAAATAAGTGTACATATTTTATGTCTCCGTGCCCAGAAGATATTGCTTTTAGATAAAAATATCAGTCACATTTAACATTTAATGTGTTGTATAGCAATTTATCTTCACCATTTTACCGTTGTTTGAAAACGTCTGTTCTAACTTAAAATAATTCACATTGACAAAATATACAATAAACTTTGTACAAATACATATCCTGAACATAAAGTGTTTGAAATGAATGAGTTGAACTATCTATGGATAGGCTATTTAGTTGTAAATGGAGATTGTCTGATAATATTTTCAGATGATTTAACTGGCACTGTAGGAGGGTATGTGTACACGATATTTTACCTTTATCCAAAAAGTTTATGACAAAAGGATGGCTTCACAATGTAATATAGAGTTTATGTTAAGATTGTTCTCAGCTATAGATGTCATGTTGCAGCTTAATGTGAAATCTTGTAATTTTATATACATTAGTTAACAAGTTGAGTTTTAATAACCCTGTAATGTTTAATGTTATGATTCCATACCGAATTATAGTTATATTCCTAAGTACATTTTCACCAGTACGTACTGGTGTGTAAGATACAATAAATTCTTAATAAATCATATAAATTAACTCTAGTTGCAGGAGAATAAAATCACAAGCAGTAAGTAGATGTAGAACTCGTAACTTGGTCCCAGAAAATACGTTTGTAATGCTGGTAATTGGTATTCATGAAGGGATTTAGTAAAGAATGACATGAATAAGTGGAATGTATTGTGATCTCTACCTCGCGTAGCAACTATAGTAGGAGATAATACTATCATGACGCATTTATGTGTGTTACAATAGCAACACTTTGAATAACGCTGAGTGGTCAAAGGGGGTATTTGTGTGTATTACTTGAGCAAACAGAACATGCCTGGACATGATCTTGAATGCTATATAGCTGAAACCGGGCTAATCTCATCTGACCGGTCATTTGTTTGTTGAACGGCTGATTGCATTTGAGTAAACGGGAACATGCTTGGGCAAGCTTGCTAAATATGAAGAAACAAGCCACGACGTGTGAATATAGCTTGTTATATAGCTGGGACAGGGCTTATCCATACAGCATAACCTACTACAGCTGCGTACAGTTCAAGACACAGACAGCAGAAGAAAGGGTCAATTGCTCGATTGATATTCAAGTTCCACTATAAGGTAGGTTTATTATTATTATTATAATTATAACAAGGGGTAGAAAATCACTGCATGTTTAATTGTCTCTAAGCTAAATTGCCAGATTTCACCGGTAATGTGTAAAATAATAGTTGATTCAGTATAAAATTTAAACCGTAGGTTAATGTGTACAACGATAAACAAAATCAACCTAAGATTGTTCTTAGTTAATACTTTTAAAGGGACTAAAAGTAAATTTCATCTGAAAACGTTCAAACATAAAACGCAAGAGTTTAAGTTTTGTTTCAACAACAATTATAAGTAAAAATAAGATATTATTAAGCAACATCTTAAGCAACTTATGTAAAAACAATTGTTAGCACTTATTTTCAACTCTGCTTTTAATCTTTAAACTTTTTCCAAATGTTTTTCACAGACACTTAAATTCTGTTCATGTACAACGTAAGTCGATCAAGTTTTTATACCATTGATATTTTTTTGGTGTTTTGATCTATTAAGATCATTGTACATTTGTTTTGAAAGCGATGTCAAAATTAAACGTTTGAAACCACAACCAACACGTGTAAGCAAACTATACATGTGAGCTTTACTTTTTTTTTTTTTTCTCATTACAAAACTACATTTTACATTTCTGTTTTAAAAATGTAATGCAGCATGCCCGCACGACATGTGTTGGTGGTGAAGCGATGCAGTTCTATAAAACGCGTTTGATTCAAACAAGATATACATCGTATTGATTGTATGCCTTATACATTTTTTTTTCAAAACTTAGTTAATTTTTTTTTCTGGTACTCACACAAACTAAATGCCCAATCGCTTTTTCGAACTGAACTAAAATCGAATTCTTCTCCTTTTACAAATTGTACATGTTTTCACTCATACAGAAGAGTTGCAGATTCAATTCAGATAAAAGTTGTCTTGCTTGAAGCCTGGGTCATATTCATGGTGTTAATACCCAGTCTCTAACGGAGTGTTTAGTCCTCAACTTCTTTCAGACTTCAAGCTATCCCTTGCTGTTTTAGGTGTGGCTGAATTTTCCTATTTGCAAATTCTGTCTCAGCATCTGATTTAGGGGGTAATGGTCCTACTATTTTCGGGTACACTCTTTTTAACAACCTAGGACGCGGTCTGCTCTTTTCGATTATATCAACGGCCCATGCGTATTTTGAAAATATATCAAGCAAAGCTGACAACCAACTATATTTTGCCATGTTGTGATCACCCGCTTGCCATCTATCATCAGCTGGAAATTGCTTCCTCGTTTGTGCACCTCGTTTGGCCAATAACTTTTTTCGTGTACGTGAAGTTTTCTTTTTAATTTTTTGAGCCTCATGATTCGGTTTTGTCGTGTTTTCCGGACTAGCAGGATTATGATAGAGTTTTCCTGTGTCTTCTCCCGCGTGTCCCTTACTTCTACGGTTCTTTTTATCAGTGTGTCTTCTTTTCATCCTGTCTCCTTCAACTCTTTCACGTAAATGAAGCACACCTGTTCGAACATCACTTTTTTAAAATAGACTGTATGTTTTTTGAACTGGTGTTACAGGGTTTCCGTCTACTTCATCAAAGCCTATGTTTAACAGTGTTTTCACTGTACTGGGTGTATAGTTAGATTTCTTTTCATGTGTGACAAACAACTGTACCAATTCGTGTCTATTTTCGGGCGTCAGCGAAACATTTAATGGATTCTTTAATCTTTTTTCAACTGTATTCATGGTACACTGTGGACTGTGACGTTCATGCTCAATGTCAGCCGCATCTCTCAGCGGATCCCAGTTGCTAAGACTGATTCCACAATTAAAACAACTGACTGTATCGTCATATTTGGGCGCGTTTGGGTCCCTGTAAAACCCACTGATGGCTAAAGGTATAGGGTTGATAAGAAGTTTACCAGGCCAATCAAGAAAGCTCAGAACTCTATCTTCTTCCTTACAATAAGATATTCGAAAAAACAAGGGCTTGTCTTCTGGTGCACAATCGGTGAATACTTCACTGTCACCCATTCTTTAATTGTCTGATGGAACTGAAACATTCGTTTTAATGCTCTGCTCAGTAGCCAATCAGAAAGTAGAAATTTTATATGTTTAAAACCAATCAAATTGCAGTATCGTCTTATTACCATCAATCATAAAACATTAGAATGAGTATCATATTGCAGAAGTATATTATTTCAACTAATCAAATGTCCCACCCGTAAATCTATTTTTAGATATGATGTCATAATCAACCAATCAAATTGAAGCATCATATTATTTCAACCAATCAAATGCCCCACCGGAAAATGTATTATTAGATATGATGTCATAATCAACCAATCATTACAGTATTGTCTTATTTGCACAAAGCAAATCTATTTTTCATATTATATTAACCAGTAGAATCAACAGTTGCAACTCATAAATCACTTGTTCTTGCCTTAACACATCACATTTGAGTGCATAGTTCTATATCTGGAGTGTAACCAATTACATATTCATTTCAGAAGCCATGGAGCACAAGTGTGAAACCTGCAAGAAATCTTTCACCAAGAAGCGTAATCTACTTAAACATATCAGGGCAGTGCACGGCGCTGAGCAATATCCCTGTGATATCTGTGGAGCGTCGTTCAATCGCTCAGAAAGCCTGAAGCGTCACCGGGCCTCACACGCTAAGGCGTACGGTTGTCCAATATGCGGAAAATGCTTTGGTCGACGTGATGTGTTGAGCACTCACATGCGCTTACATTCGACCAGACTAGAACAACCGACCTTAAGATGCCCAGAGTGTGCCGAAGTATTTGCCACCCCACAGGACCGTCTAAACCACCAGGCTAAAGCTCATCCGCAACCGGGGCCCTCGAACAAAAGAAAAGCAGATTCTCAACCCGACATCGTTAAGAAAATTCAAGTGGGGTATGGCGCTGGGGCTATCCTTTCCCCTGATCCAGTCAGCATGCCTGAAGATCTTCTTCCTCCTGATACTAAACCTCTTGTACGCGACTCCTACATGCAACATTGGAGTAGCATCCGCACTCGATTCTCTATGGGAAACAAATTACAAGACTGGTACAACTTTCGGTTGACCACTATTCACCCTGACGATCTTCGAGAAGGATTAGCTGCTGTGTTAAAAGACCAAAAGACTGTCTTTAAGTTGAATGTGTCTTACGGATTTTTCTTAAGAAACAACGAGACCGGGGAACTGCGTTACTATCACCCCAGCAGCAACAACCATTGCTTCTTAGAAGAGCCATTTGTAATCCAAAACAAAAACGACCTCGATGGCTTCTTTGAGCACATTACTGTCAGGGATATTTTGGAGTGCGCCCGCCAGGAGAGACCCAACTCCAGCTGGATAGTCGAGATGATCACTAACGCTACATTCTACGTGACTAAGCTGGTAGGTCACCCCATCGGAAGTGCCGGAGTTCTGCCACCCTACATCACAAATAACAAGGGTCTGGTCACATTGCAGGGAGATCAGAATGGTTGTTATAATGACAATTTGTGCGTGTTCCGATGCCTTGCCCTGCATAGAGGGTGGCCAGTGCTTGGACTAGAAAAAACCACCAAACAACTTTCTGAGAAATACAGAGCCGAGACTCGGTGCAAGATCAAAGGGTTTGAGGGAGTGTCGCTCAAACAACTAAAAAAACTTGAAGACTTGTTCGAAGTCAACATAACGGTGTACGAGTTGCAGGAAACAGAAGACGGTGCGACTTTTGCTGAACTTGTGCGTCGATCAATGAGCAAGTACAAGGAAACCATGTCGCTTAATGTGTACGAAAATCACTTTTCGTACATAAAAAACATGGGGAAATACGCTCAATCCTTTTGCTGCTCAAAATGCGACAAAATGTTCAAGCACAAAGGTCATTTGCATGTTCACGAACGGACATGTGAAGCTATCGTCGAACACCGATTCCCAGGTAAAGCCTACAACACCCCTCCAACCATTTTTGAGGAGCTGGCGGATTACGGCCTGGTCATCCCCAAGGAAGACAGATATTACCCCTATCGGGCAACCTTTGATATTGAGTGCCTACTACCGACCCCGAACAACCCCGACCACAGTGAAAAACTGCACTTGGAACACGAACATCAGTTCCTGAGTGTCAGCATTTGCAGCAATGTGCCAGGACACACCACGCCCAAGTGCTTCATATCGGACGGTGATCCTGGCCAAACTGTGGGTAAATTTATTGCTGCCCTCATTGACATTAGTCAGGAGGCTAAGGTAATATTGAATGATAAATTTAAGTGGGTATTTGAAAATGGGCATACGAAAGTCACGAATGATGTAGAATTAGACATAGAGATGAGTGAGGAAGAAGAGGATGTTAATGAACTTAGAAAGGGCCATTATTTAACAAAACTGTTATCTAGGTTTAGCAACTATTTAAAGGAATTACCAGTTTTAGGGTTCAATAGTGGGCATTACGATTTGAATGCCATGAAAACATTGTTTTTTCCGTCGTTGATAAACAGAGAAAAGTTGCGCTTTGTAGTCAAGCGGAACAACAATTTTATGGTGCTCAAGTCAGATAGCTTGAAAATACTAGATGTCAGAAATTATTTAGCACCTGGGTGTAGTTATAGTCAGTTTCTCAAGGCATTCGAGTGCAAAGAATCTAAGGGGTTCTTTCCTTATGAATGGATGGACTCCTTGGATAAACTCGATTACCCTTGTCTCCCTCCACGTGAAGCATTTGCCTCACAATTAAAGCAAAACACCATAAGTGAGGCGGATTACGCATTGTGCCAACGCGTGTGGGAGGAAAACAACATGGAAACAATGCGCGACTTTCTCACCTGGTATAACAACAAAGATGTTGAACCGATGCTGGAAGCAGTGGCTAAAATGTTTGACTTTTACCTTGAGCGGGGAATTGATATGTTTAAAGATGGTATTAGTGTACCAGGGTTAACACTGAAATACCTCTTTCAAAACGTTGGAGACGCTTATTTTACTCTTTTTGATGACAAAAATAGCGATCTCCACTACCTCCTGAAAAATGCCATCGTGGGCGGCCCAAGTATTATATTCCATCGTTACCACGAAAGAAACAAAACTTTGATTAGAAAAGCCACTGTAGATGATCCTAAGCTCTGCAAGAAAATCATTGGCTTCGATGCTTATGCTCTTTACTTGTGGTGCTTGATGCAACCCATGCCAACGGGTACATTTATACGCAGGCATGTAGAATCAGGGTATAAGCGCGAATATTCCCATCCCCATGGGAGGGAAGCAACGATGTGGTTGGACTGGATGGCTCACACCACTGGGCAGAAAATCCGGCATCAGTTTAACAACATTGAAAAACGCATAGGCTACCAACCCCGACTACCTGTTGATGGTTTTTGCTCTGAGACAAACACCGTGTATCAGTACCAAGGGTGTTATTTTCATGGTCACCGTTGTCATCTTAACCAAAACAAGGACGGCACATTTAGAGAAATAAACGAAACGAAAAAAGTATCCATGGAATCACTGCGTATCTAAACAGAGCAAAATAGTCTGTACATTCGAGAACAAGGGTACAATTTGGTTGAAATGTGGGAGTGTGAATGGAAAAGATTACAAAAAGAAAATGCAGAAGTGCAACTGTTCGTAAATCAGTACAAGCACCCCACCGAAAACAAATATCAACTGAAATTTGAAGAAATTTTGCATGCCGTTTGCAATGACAAGTTGTTTGGTTTTATTGAATGTGATATAGAAGTCCCCTCTGAACTCAGANGTTGTCATCTAAACCAAAACAAGGACGGCACATTTAGAGAAATAAACGAAACGAAAAAAGTATCCATGGAATCACTGCGTATCTAAACAGAGCAAAATAGTCTGTACATTCGAGAACAAGGGTACAATTTGGTTGAAATGTGGGAGTGTGAATGGAAAAGATTACAAAAAGAAAATGCAGAAGTGCAACTGTTCGTAAATCAGTACAAGCACCCCACCGAAAACAAATATCAACTGAAATTTGAAGAAATTTTGCATGCCGTTTGCAATGACAAGTTGTTTGGTTTTATTGAATGTGATATAGAAGTCCCCTCTGAACTCAGACCCATGTTTTCAGAAATGCCACCCATTTTTAAAAACGCCACCATTACCAGAGATGACATAGGTGCTTACATGAAAAATTTTGCCGAAGAAAATGGCATTATGAGCACTCCTAGAAAATCGCTTATAGGCAGTTTTTTCGGTGAAAAAATTTTACTGGCCACTCCCCTCTTGAAATGGTATGTGAAGCACGGTCTTCGCGTCACTTACATTTACCAGGTAGTCGAGTACACGCCTAAAGCCTGCTTCCAGCATTTTGGTAACGCGGTGAGCGATGCTCGCAGAGAGGGGGATAAAGATAAAACAAAGGCCATCGTTGCCGATACCATGAAGCTCATTGGTAATTCGGGGTACGGTAAAACAGTAACCAATAAAGAAAAACACCGTGATGTGGAGTACTGTGGTGAAGCTAAGGCCTCTCGTAAAGTGAACAACCCCCGCTTTCGGCGCTTAGATCAAATCACTGACGACACGTATGAGATCGAACTAAACAAAAAAGTAATCAAATACGATTTACCCATTCAAATTGGGGTCATGGTGT